CCTGCGGCCCCCCAAGGAAAGGCGAGCGCTGCACCCACTGCATCCTGGGTTTATTTACACTGCAACCTCTGTGCAGGCGGGTGGGGAGGGGGGCGGGCAGCCCCCCCTGGGCCGGGTGGAAGGGAAAGGCAGGCAGCGAGGCGAGGGGACACCCGCAGCGTGGGGACAAGAGCAGGGAGGGGGCCCGGCTCCCCCAGCACTACAAACACAAGCCCCCCGGGGAGGACAGACCCAGCGAGCCCTGGCTGCCAGGGGCAGGGGGAAGAGGCAAGGGTCACTTTTAGCAGCAAAGGCCTTGTTTCCCTCCAGGGTGGCAGAGGGGATAGTGGCATGGGATGGAGCCGGACTAGTGTTCACCAAGTTAAACAAAAAAAAGGCAGAGGAGGAAGCGAAGAAACATGGAGAACAGCTCCACTCCTGTCCTCCAGAGCTCGGAGTTAAACCAGGGGGTTGGGATGCGATGCCTCCTTCCCTCCTCTGGGCAGAGCAGCAGCTCCAGGCACAGCTTCTCCTGCCTGCCCAGCACCGGGCACAGCCCCAGAGCCCCCAGCGTGCCCCCGGGCTTCTGCGCCCTCGCTGTCCTTCCACCGCGAGGTGAGAGCCATTCAGGTGGCAGGTTGATGGCATGGCTGACGGTCCATGTGGGCAGCAGCTTCCTCGGCGCTCTGCCAGGCACAGTTGGGATGGATGCCGAGGCGGCCGAGCTCTGCGCTCCAGCCCCCGGCGCAGTCCGGCTCCCGCCTCCCTTATAGGAAACCCTCCTTCCGGAACTGCTCCTTCAGGATGTCTCTGTACTGGTCAAAGCCACCCTCGATGCGGGTCACGGTGGCGTTCTCGCACACCCACAGCTCCTGGCACACCAGGCGGATGAAGCGCTCGTCGTGGGACACCAGAATGACACCACCCTGCAACACACCAGGGGGAAAATGGGAACTGAGAGGAGCACAGCCCAGGGCCCCCCACCAGGGTCACGCCTGGACCTAAGTCTTTGCATTTCCACCCGCTGCAGGGAAAATGCCGTGGTACTGCACTGGGGGGGACCTAACCCCAGCATCTCCTTCTTCAGGGGGACACACAGATGACATAGGGGGACACGCAGATGACATATGGAGGTGGCACGGGCAGTGTAATGTATTTAGCCTCCCCCCTCGGAGGGCAAGCGCGGGGTTTGTCGCTGGCTCTCCAGATCTCTGCCAGCTGCCGGGATGGCGATTGCAGGTGGAGGTGATGACAGTCAAAGGGTGGCTGGACAAGGCCCCAGGCAACCTCAATTCTGCTTTTCTTTCACAGGAAAACTGCCCCTTACCCGGAATTTATTCAGTGCCTTTGCGAGCGCCTCGATGGTCTCCATGTCCAGGTGATTTGTCGGCTCATCCAGGATGTAGAAGTTTGGGCTCGAAGAGAAGACAGCTCTGAGCACGCGCTGGAGCAGACCCCAGGGTCTGGGTCTGCGCCCATCGCACTGCAGCCACCTCCCCCCCAGCTGCTGCTTTTGTCACCTACAGCCACAGCCACCTGAATGGGCCTGGCCCCAAGATCGGCATTGCCCAGCTCCAGGGACACCTCTTATCCCCGCGAGCCCAAAGCACCAGGAGAAAGCCACCTGCCTCCTGCCACAGTCCCCCCAGGGTGACAACCCTCCTCCCCATTGAAGTCCCAAGGATGAGGCCATGGCAGAGCTCTGGGAAGTCCCTGGCTGCCCGCCCTCCTCCCGGTGAAGCAGGCTCCAGGGATGGAGCCATCAAAAATTAACAGCATCTGGGAGACAATTACCAGGACATTGTCATCTGCGCAAAGGCCACGCGACTCTTCTGGCCTCCGGACAGGCTGGCCACGGGCCGCACGGCCAGCTCCCCCGACACGCCGTAGCTCCCCAGCTGGTGCCGGTACTCCTCCTCCGTCTTCCCTGCAGGAGCGTGTCACAACACAGCGATGGCACACATGGCGTGACACAGGGTCCCCGGTGCCGTGAGCTTGGTGGGTGCCGCAGCTGGGCAGCCCGTGGCCGCATGGCGTTTTTTTTCAGGAGGGGGGGATGGGAATTCAGCAGCCGCTTCCCTGCAATTCCCCCCCCAAGCAGGGGAAAACCTGTCTGACACCATCGGGACAGGGGCTGCAGGGCAGGTGACTGATTCCAGGTGACGCTGCCCCCAATTCCCTGTCACTGCATCATGTAATGTTAAGTGGAGAAGGGAGCCGGAGGTTTTGGCAGCTGGGAAAGCAGGGGCTGGTGCTTGTTCTGGGCCCAGCAGGAACGGGGGTGTCATCTGTCCCAAAACCCAGCCATGGGGGAGCCGCAGCCTGGGGTCTGCAGACTGCCGGCTGCCCCGGCACAACCAGCTCAGCCTCCCATGGCTGGTGTCCTGAACTTGTGCTGGATGTGGGGGCTAGCCCACAGCAGGTGGTGTCCCGTCAGCACCGATGTGACAGAGCCTCTGCCCAGGGCATGGAACACACCAGCACTGCTCCGCGCCTGGCACAGGAGACCGCAGCGGCCCATGTCTCCTGGGATCTCCAAAACTCACCTGGGAACTTTTTTGCCAGCAGCTCCACAGCGCTGATGTTCAAGTCCAGTTGATCCACGTGGTGCTGGCTGAAATAACCGATCTTGAGGTTTCTGCAGAATGAGAACAGAGACTGGGAGCTGGTATCGGCCCAGCAACCATAGCGCTCACAGCTGCAGCTACAGGGATGGGGACACATGCGTGGGTGCACAGGACCCACCCCCGTCACTCGGGCAGCCATCGCTCCAGCCCAGAAGCCCTCCAGCTGCACCATTCCTCCCGTCCCCCAGCCCTTCCTACCAGGTACCTGTGAGCGTGTCTGATCCCTCTGACTGGTGCCAGCTCCCCCAGTAAGATCTTTAGCATGGTCGACTTGCCAGCTCCGTTTTCCCCAACCTAGAGAAGGAGCAGCAGCACTGGTGAAACCCATGAAGGTACTTGGGAGAGGGGGGGCAGTGATCAGGGAATTTCAGCTCACTGGGATGATCACACAGTGGAGGGGGGCAGGATGAGAGTCTAACCAGTGTCTCCAGTTACCTGGAAGCTGCATTTCTATCTCTGAGGAGCAGCACAGGCAGCTAGCTGTGCTAGATGTTCCCTCCCCAACCCTCCAGCCTAAGGATCACCTGGCCCCAGCCTTATTTGCAAGCAAACAGCATTTCTCTGCTTCCCCATCTGATGCAGCAGGAGCCCCCACTCCATGCTGCTGTCACCAGCTGACTAACAGGGAGTTAGAGAGAAAACGGACCCAGTCGCTGGTGTCCTGCGCCCAGTGAAAGGATGCCCAGTGAAAGGATGAAGGGCAACAGGCACAAGGTGCAAATTCTAACTGATATTAGGAAAAATATTCCTCAAAATGAGGATGATCAAACGCTGCAATGGACCCAAAGGAATAGGAGAGATATTCTTTCCTGGAAATATCTAAAATTCAACCAGATGAGGACCTGAGCAACCTGACCTAACACCAAAGCTGGCCCTGCTTCGAGCAGGGACCTCCCAGGGTCCCTGGCAGCCACTGTTACTCTGCAATCCCACGTACCACGCAGATGCGGGACTCCAGGTCAGCGGAGACAGAGAGGGAACGGAAGATGTAGTGACTTGGGTCGTAATAGAAGTCTACTTCATCTAGCTGCAGGATCGGCGGGGAGAACTTCTCAAAGCCATCAGGGAACCTGGAAAGGCAGGAAGAGGTGAGAGATCGCCAGGAACTTCAGAGACCCTGCTCCCAGCCCCTGGGACAACTGCTGCAACCCCCCGCAGGTGGCAAGGGGGCCTCTCTGCCCTGCAGGACCTCTGGGAAGGATGGTCACAAGAAGGGGACACAGATCTGCAGCCTTGGCCCCAGGAGGGAACCCAGCCTAAACGTGGGGGCCTGTCTGGGCTCCCTGCCAGAAACTCAGATGGCCCAGAGGAAGGGGTGGTTGTCCCCAGTGGGACAGGACCCAGGAGGAGCTCACATTGGAGAGGGAGCCAAGCACCCTCCAAGCAAGGCTCAGGGACACTTACTTCATGATCACCTCAGACTCCTTGTCCACAGGTTTCAGCTCCGGCCTGAAAGAAGAGGAGACAGGTAACCGAGACGCCTCACACTGGGGTCTGTTCCCATAGAAGCCCAGATAAGAGTCTCCAGCTCTGCGACCCCTCATTCTAACCAAAGCCTCTGGACAAGAGATAGAGCATCCAAACCCCAAATATCATCCAAGTGCCCTGTTTCTTCCCATGAGCACTGTCCCCTCCCCACCTCCAGAGAGGAGCAGGACAGGCACTCACAGCTTCTCCAGCAGCTTGAGCTTGCTCTGCACTTGGGACGCCCGGTTGGCATTGTAGCGAAAGCGGTCAATGAAAACCTACAAGAGAGAAAAGCATCAGAGAGCCCCAGGTCCCCTTCAGCCCCGGACACTCCACTCTGCTGCCAAACCTCCTCCAGCAACAGAGCCACACCGCTGTGACTAGAAGTATGGAGAAAGGGACAAGGCTGGGAGAAGAGTGCCCCAGCAGTACTGGCTCCTCCCAGTACCTGGATGTGCTCGCGGTACTGCTGCTGGGCTTCGTACTCCCGCTGCTGGTTCTTCAGCCGCTCCTCCTTGATCTTCATGAAGTTCTCAAAGTCCCCGCGGTACGTGTCCAGCCGCTGTGAGTGCAGGTGGATGATGTCCGTGGCCACCGCGTTCAGGAAGTTCCTGTCGTGGGACACCACCAGGATGGTCGACTGCCAGGTCTGGAGGAGACAGCGAGAGGCAGAGCATCGTCACACCGCAGCGCAGGGCTTGGTCCCACCACCCAGTGAGGTGACACACCAGCCTGGACTCCATCCCTCACGCTCATTGCCCCCCCCCCCTCCCTGCAGGTAGGTCTCAAGCCACAGAATGGCCCTCACGTCCAGCATGTTCGTTGGCTCTGCAGGGAGGTAAAGAGGCGCTGAGGTCAGCAGGGATGAGGATGGCTGGATTACACTTTTTTACACAGTGAAGGCAAGTGATTATCGTGGAGGAAGAGACCTTGTGTGGGGACCTGCCTGCATAGCCCTGGGGACTCACATGTGGGGTGTGCTGGGGGGGGCACAGGGGTTGAGGCTCCCCCTATTCCACACAGGCACCTGGACCCCCCTGCTTGGCAGCAGCATCTCACCCAGACGCCCCCCAAGGTGGGCACCTCCCCAGGGGCGCAGCCCAGCCCCAGGGTCCCCC